GAGGGCCCTGGGTCGCGATGCGCGCGGCCGGGCGGGGCAAGTGGGCGAAGCCGGGCCATCCCCTAGCGGTGGCCGGCCCCCTGCGGTGTTGCGAGCCCCAGGGTGCCTGCTGTGACGGGGAGCGCCTCCTGAAGGGCCCAGGGCCCAGCACTCCTTCGACCACGAAGGTGCACATCTTCTTGCGTTCTCGGAGAGGGTAAAGTCTGCCCCGAACAATGAAGGGAGGCTTAAGGCCTTGCATCGCCTGTCGTCTCGGGACTGCTGTTTGTACACAGTGGGTTTCTGCATGTGAAGAACTCAGGACCTGGCACGCTCAGAAGTGTAGGCTGCAGTCACCATCTTCATCACTGTCACCCGCACTAGTATCACCATCATCATCACCATGATCAGAGTTCGCTTCACTAGTCAAGCCTGGGAGTTCAGGGAGTGGTGTAGATCCCCATCACCTCTCCTGCTGCTTGCTCTCCAATATCCGCCCCAACCTGGAACCTTTCTGCTTGCTGAAGTTCCCCAGTGTTTCCCAGCGTCTCTTCAGACTTGAAATGCCTAACCCAAGCTTACTATCTCCCCTGAAATTCTTCCTCAAAAAAAGTAAATAACCTTTCTTTGTTCCGTTCTTAAAAGACCATTTTGCTTGCCATGCCAAGCCCTGCCCCTAGTTTATTCTGCGCACTGCTGTCAGATTGTGTTAAATACATAATGTCGTAATGAAATCTTTAGGGTAAAGTTCACATTTTTAGACTTCAAAATCCGTCTATAAGAATGATGACTTTGCTCTAAAATACTGGACCACTGGTCACCACTAAATGTTACCCATCCCACCTGGGATTTAACACACATCCATTAACTCGATCACTTATCCATTCATGTAACAAACCTTCACTGAGCCTTTGTTATATGTCCAGCTTTTTTTTTTCTTTTTTTGTGTCATAGTCTCACTCTGTCATTCAGGCTGGAGTGCAGTAGCACGATCACAGCTATTGCAGCCTCCACCTGCTGGACTCAAGTTATCCTCCTGCTTTAGCCTCTCAAGTAGCTGGGACTAAAGGCATGCACCACCACACCAGGCTAATTTTTTAAAAATTTATTTATTGTAGAGATGAGGTCTCACTATGTTGCCCAGGCTGGTTTTCAATTCCTGGGCCCAGGCAACCCTATTGCCTCGGCCTCCCAAAGTGTTGGAATTATAGGTGTGAGCCACCGTGCCCAACCTACCCATCAGTATTTGGTTTTCTGTTCCTGAGTTACTTCACTTAAGTTAATGGCCTCTAGTTCCATCCAAGTTACCGCAAAAAACAAGGGTAGGATTTTAAAGTAGCCACTAGCATCTCAGCTGCTCTTTTGTATCAGGTCTCCAGAACCAGTAAAAACGTAGAAGTAGCCCACTTATGTGCTCTGCTTTCCTTGTGTACTCATAATGCCATTTTTTCACAATTCTCACCATCCATTACAGTTCTTTGCATATAATAATCTTGACATTTAAATTTTTTCACATATATAGAGACTTTAAAAATGTTATTGATTTCTTTGCCCAACAAAATAGAAGATCAGTTATTGGGTATATACACACATGCATGCACACACACGAGAGTATGCACACATTCACTGGCACTTTCTCTAAACTTCTCTAGTGCAGGAAAGCAATCAAACTTCCCTCTGAAGAGGAAGCCAAGAAGAACTGGGCTACTATACTTCCTGTATGTACCAATGTTCTATTTTGTGAAGGCCAATGATCTGTGCAGATCTTTATCACATTCATTTCTAGGTACAAGGAATACAAAGGGGACAGGTGAAATGAGCAAACAATTGGCAGATTTACCTGCAGAGAAGGCCCACTGCCCACAGCATAGCTAGGCTTACATCCAACACTACGTTTCTTGTCAATATGAATTTGGACTGTGCTTAAGATTATTATGGAAGGTATTTCCACATTCTAGGATGAAAACACTCTGTACTACAGAAAATATATGAGTAATTTTAAAAACCTGATGAAGGATAGTCCATTAGAAGAAGGGAATCACAGTGTTCCAGTTGTCAGTAAGATGGTTAACAACTCTTAACCCTTCCTAACTTGAATTCATTTCCCAGAATGCACCTCTACTATCACTATGTTTGCTGGTATGTGGTACACAGTGCTGGGAGCCTAGGAAGCACTCCTTTCCCCAGGAGAATAATACCAAATCTATGCTGTATAACTTCTCTCCTTTCCAAAATCATCTTTTACATTACAAAATCTTTGACATTCCTTAAGTGGTGAATCTACAACTGTTTACTGTACAAGCAGCAACATCAATGCTCATTTTCAAGCACCAAGATAAAAAGCCAAATGAAAAAGAAATGTTATTTTAAAAAAATCTTTAATTGTGGTAAAATACATATAGCATAAAATTTACCCTCTTAACATTTCTAAGTGTATTGTTTAGTAGTGTTAAATATATTCTCGTTGTTACGAATTCTCCGAATGTATTCATCTCAAAAAATGGACATTCTATGCCCATTAAACAACTCTCTATTTCTCTTTCCTCTAGTCCCGAGTAACAACCATTCTACTTTCTCTTTTTGTTTGTTTGTTTGTTTGAGTTGGAGTCTTACTGTCACCCAGGCTGGAGTGCAGTGGCATGCTCTCGGCCACCACAACCTCGACCTGCTGGGCTCAGGCGATCCTTCCGCCTCGGCCTTCCAAGTAGCTGGAACCGCAGGCACGCACTACCATGCCTGGCTAATTTTTTTTATTTACTGTAGAGATGAGGTCTCACCAAGTTACCCAAGCTGGTCTTGAACCCGTAGGCTCAGGCAATCTCCTCACCTCAGCCTTCCAAAGTGCTGGGATTACAGGTTTGAGCCACCGCACCTGGCTCATTCTACTTTCAGTAGAATTTTGACTAGCTCATATAAGTGAAATAAGCATTTGTCTTTTGGGGACTCGCTTATTTCACTTAGCATAATATCCTCAAGGCTCATTAGTGTTGCAGCATGTGTCCAAATCTCCTCCTTTTTAAAAACTGAATAATATTCCACTGTATGTATATACCACATTTTCTAAATCTATTCATCTGCCAATGAACATTTGGGATCCCGTTTTCAATGCTTTTGCATTTCTACCCTGAAGTGGGATTTCCGGATCATATAGTAATTCTGTTTTCAATGGTTTAGGCCTGGGGTTCGGAGGAGAGCTCTGGCTAGTGACATAAATTTAAGAGTCATCAGAATATGGCTGGTGCATATGTTGGATCTGATTAATACAAGAACTTTCAGAGTTAAGAAGAGACTTTGCAATTAAGAGCAAAGTGGAAAAGAAAGGTTGTTTCCATCTGATTCGCCCCACAGTCATCACTTTGAAAACATGTAGATTCACTTTTGCCAATTGATGGGAAGATGATCTGGTTACAAAGACTGAAACTTATGAGGGACATTGATTAAAACTTAAGGCTTATTTATTAGTTTGGATGAATGATTGAAAACTCAAAGTTAACTGGAATGATAAAATGGCTAGGTTAGCTCATACGTTTGGCAGTAGGAAACTCTACATACTTGGAAACCCAAATCCACACAAGTAGGTTATGTGTTTACTATAAAACTTTTTAAAATGTAAAAGGAAACGTGAGGTTTCCAGGGCTCTGGCAATGTGCTCTACCCACAGAGTTCTGCTCACACATGCCAAGTAGGCAGTGACAGCTGGCTGAGCAGAACGTCCCCTTGGATGACTGTGGTAGATGACTCCTCTGTCCAGCTCCTCACTTCTAAAACCCACCCCCACCTACAATCTCACTCACTAAAACGATGGCTGCCTCCCTGGGATTCTAAAGGAAAGAGAAAATTTATTTATTTATTTACAGACAGGATCTCTCTATTGCCCAGGTTGGAGTGCAGTGGCATGATCATGGCTCACTGCAGCCTCAGTCTCTTGAGTAGCTGGGAATACAGGTGTGCACCATCACACCTGGCTCATTTTATTTTTTTTGTAGAGATGGCGGTCTCATTATATTTCCCAGGCTGATCTTGAACACCTGGCTTTCAAGTGATTCTCCCATTTCTACCTCCCAAATTGCTGGGGTAAGCCACCATGCCTGGTCAAATTATTTTAATAGTTCAAAAAGTCTAGTAGAAATCACACATTTTCCTGAAATAAGGCCTCTTAAGCTGACTAAAATGTAATTTTTGGCTAATATCAACTTATATTTTAGGGACTCACTTCAGGAGTCAACCCCAACAGAAAGTTTTCTCTGATTTCCGACTTGTGACCCATTCTCTAATCTCTCTGGGTGCCTCTAAACTTTTAATAATTATCTATTTATATGTCTGTATACATCTTCCCAAAATTGGACTTTGAATTGTGTTTTATTCATCCTGTTTTCGTTTTTTTTTTTTTTTTTAATTTAGAGATAAGGTTTCATTCTGTTGCCTATGCTGGAATGCAGTGGTGCGATCAGAGCTCACTGCAGCCTTTAACTCCTAGACTCAGGTGATCCTCCTGTCTCAGCCTCCCAAGTAGCTAGGACTGCAGGCATACACTATCACACCCAACTAATTTTTTTACTTTTTTATTTTT